GTTCACAATACAGCACTTGTAGCACAACACGGCGCTGATGAGGCGATGTCACTGTGGTTTATAATAGAGGGCTTAGAGCACAACGTAGAGCATATCGAGCTTAGTCACTGCAATTTATTGTAGGAAATTTGAAATTCACAAGTTGTTAATCGAACACTGTCACTGCAGTTTATTTTAGTATACAGTAGCTGTAATTGGTTAATCAGAATTTGTAGCACAATATGAAGCTGGTAGGCACACTCACCCTAATTTATTATAAAGGATGTCATTGTAATCTGTCATAGAAAACGTGTTGTGCAACATGGTTCTCACTCAATACATAGTTCTCACAACATTCTGCCAATGAGGCGCTAAGGTCACTGTAATTTATTACAAAGAATCTGTGGCAAAATATGTTTCTGATGGGTATAGTAACTGTAATTTATTACACAGCACATGCTTGCATAATATGGCGTTGATCGGGCACAATCACTGTAATTAATTATAAGGAATTTGTAGCATAACATGGAGCTACTGAGGTAAAGACATACTTTATTACAGAAAATTTGTAGCACAATGTGGCTCTGTTGTGGCACAGTCTTTGTAATTTAGTATAGAGAATTTGTGAAACAATATGGAGTTGATAGGGCAATGTCACTGTAAATTGTAATAAGGAACGTGCAACAAAACATGGGGATGGTGGCAGTGACTGTAGTTTACAATAGAGAACGTGCAGCACTCAGCAGGTGGCGCTGATGGGGTGCAGTCACTGTAACTTATTATAGTGAACTTCAAGTATAAAATAGAGCTGCTGGCGAAAATTCGTTATAATTTATTATAAGGACTTTCAACCCAACATGGTGCAGATACATATAATCACTAGAATTTATAATACATATATTATAGGTAAACAAAGAAATGATGTGACAGAGTCGCTATAGTTCAATAAAGCTGCCTTGAACAACATCAACGCCCTATTGGGGCAAAGTATCTTGAATTTATTATAAAGGATTTGCTACATAATATGGCGCTAATAAGGCAAAGTTCCTGTCATTTGTTGTAGAGAATTTATAGCACAAAATGAGGCTAATAAGGGAAAATCCACTGTAATTCATTATAGAGAATGTGTAGCACAACATGGCGCGCTTACGCAAAATTGACAGTAATTATGCTTGAAGGGCTCGCAGAACAATGAATCGTTATTCGAGCATGTTCACTTTAAGAATAATTCAGGATTTGCAGCGTATCATATCGCAACGTCGCTTTAATTTATTATACAGTGTTATATTCAATTGATGGTCTCTAAAAGGCTTGCAGCACAACAGGTGCTATCACCGTAAACGCACTTAAGTATTTCAGACTTTCAACATATCATTACATATGGGGCGAATTCAGTATAATTGTTTACAGAGGCCACACTTATTTTTAAGAACTTGAGTAACCTTACCTAGCTCGTCTACATCAAGGGTCTTGCCATCTGTTAACATCTCCAATTCTGCCTTTCTTTTTTGAATTACCTGAAATATACAAATCAAAACCTTTAGAAGAAAATAGCAGCGGCGGTTTGTGCAACTTATTATCTCCACGTATTTTCTTTCTTATTTACGCTTTGTCTGCTTTCAATATATGATTTTACATGCATTTCCATATTTTTGTGTTGTTTGCTGAAGATTTGAAGATTTAATGAATGAAGTCAAGATATTCTGCTTCCACGTTCTCACACTTAATTGCAAAATTAACGATACATCTAAGAAATCCATTGAAGGCCATTGCAAAATATAAATCTCTCGGAAAAATGAAAGAAGCGATTTGATTCAAACTGAACGAACTTGCTTGGGAATCTAAATGTCAATCACCTACACTGACACATACATACCAACAATAAGAACGGGACATTTTTGGCTCAAACTATATAAAATAATAATTTTATTATAATCACATTATAGCAATTCTTCGACCCACATCACAGAAGACTTGTTTACAAGAACATGTACCAGGCCCAACATGCTACAATGGACCAGGCATCCTAGACATGTTTACAAGAACCACTGAAGTAAAATTACACACTAAAACACTGTTGAGGAAGCAACCATGGCCTCATTGAGCGTTCTATAATTATCGTGGAAATGCTGTAACACAAGATTAGAAAATAATTTTCGGTAATTTTCGGCTAATATTTCTATATTTACCAGAATATAAATAATAGAAGGGAAGTGGAAATATTGATTTATTGTGAGTCACATATCGATGCCTTCTTCTTGTCTATCGAAATTTTATTTTTGGTTCATTCAGACGTATAACTGACTAGACGAATGGATAAAAATTGCACGAACCGTCTCATAAATATATGTTTGGGAAAATGTGGCAATGTAAGCAGTCCTAGATGAAATATTGTGATTTCAGCAAATACGTCGTGTGAATGTTTCGAATTGGGGCCCTGAATTTTTTTTTCGATCGAAATAACAAAGGATATTTTTCGTCAATCTAAATTTGTCCCTCTAAGTTATTTCTGTTGCATGGAGAAATGAATTCAAATTCTATATATCATTTTTTTAGAAATAAGGGGTCTCCGTGTATCTAAGCCCTAGTCCCTTTGTTTTTTTCTGGACATTCCAGGCCACGAAACTCAAGACGTTTTTAAAGCTCCTGTTTGAATGCTTAACAAAGAAGAACAGACATGGAAACGTTTAGAAGAACGTAAATTGAAAGTATTAAAGAAAACTAAATTACGTTGTATGTATCTGATTACTTAGAATGAATTTCGGAACAATCACTAATTTTTTGTAATATTGGAGTATTAAGAATATTTTATTAGAGAACTGAGATTTAAATATCAGTGTTTGTTCATTTAAACTTACTCATTAACTGCTTTTACGTAGGGGGAATTGCTGTTTATTTGTGCGTTGACTCGAGCTCCCATTATTGTTTCTGAAAAAGAAGTGTTCATTATCTGCCATATGGCGAATAAATAATTGTAAATATTTCAGTATTACAAATTATGAATTTGTTCGTGCAAAATTAGCAGTTTTGCATTTATCCTTTTCAGATTTGAAAAGAAAAACTCGAATAACTTTTGTAAATTCACGACCGAGTAGTTAAAGTTGAAATTGAGATCACGAGGTTTGGTCAGAGTAATTTAAAACATTACATCATTGAGTTTGCCATCGTTTCGGAATATTTATGTCATCATTCGGGCTTACTTTTCAGATCATTGAGTATTTTATTTATTCTGATCGAACGAATCCCGTGTTCTCAATTTTCAACCATGAATAATTTTATTTTAATAATGTTTCCGGCCTTGATGAAGTACTCTTACATGTGTCACTGACATCTATTTTCTGAAACATAAAATTTCCTAGAGCAACAACTTGAGAATATACTTGCACTCATTATACTACAATTTGAGTTTTTGCCATGATGGTTTTCTTTTCTGATTTTTGGAGTATAACCGAATAAGACATTTAATTTTTCAAAATTCTTGAAACTATGAGAATCGTGATATCTTTTAAACGTAAGAGGATTAATGAAAACGAATCATGGTTCTATACTTGCATCAATATGCTTTACTTCGAGACGTATTCTGAATTTAATGGTTGTGCGCATGTTTACTGAATGGGTGAACGATAACAGATAATATCTGGATTGCTTGTAATTGGGAACCCCTGCTTGGATACAGGCAATGCGGAATTTCAATTCGTACACATCAAAATTCAAGACTAATTGAACCTTACTAATTATAACGTGCTTTCTCTGCCCTAAAAATGAATAGTCCTGTACCAAATAGACGATAGTTTGTCTGTGTCTCTTTGAGTTTGTAACATTTGGAGGGTCCATAAATCAGTAGGACGTTCAAGAGATATCTCGGGCAGATGAACGGTTGCTAAAAATCATCCAGCACTCGTCCGATTAAATTCGCTGTTCATCGGGTGGAGAGGAGATGAAGCAAGATGTGATTAGGGTGGTGAAGTGATTGAGTAGGCGATTGAATGGAGTGATTGATGGACGTTTCTCGCACATCAACTGCTATGGTCATAAGTCTCATTGAAGTAATGAACGAGTTATCCTGGGAGGTGGCGGCGCTTCTCCCTCGCTGGATTCACCAGATCCGGCACCGACCTTCACGTCGCAGCAGCAAATGCACGCTTGCAGCAACAGACAGGTCTCTCGAAATCCATGGCAGTTTGGTGCACGTAAGTGTGTTTGTTTAAGCGGAGAGGATATGACAAAGGAGAGGAAGCAAAGATAGCATGCAGTACATGACTCTTTGATTATCATACAAATTCGGCATTTCGTGTGCGTTTGATCTGGTCTGGAGAAATCATGGATAACTACCGGTCAAATCAGGCGGTCACCACAATTCCCCTTCAGACAGCCGATGAATTGTACCCATTAGCTAGTGACTACTATCCGCAATCTTTGGACCTCCCAGCCAAGGGCCCCCTGGTTAGAGTCGCTGCAGAGACAATGATTTCGCTAACACTGAGCTGGTTCAGCAGGCGATTGGTTCGACGGTAAGATTGGCATTGAGAAGATAAATCAGGTAATTAATTCGGTGGAGAAATGATTAGATGGTTTCAATGGCGTTGGCTGGAGATTGAGAGATTGGTCGGGAAAAGTAGCAACCGACCGAAACCTCTCATGATACCATTATACCGTTTTTAATTTCTCGGCCTCACTTTGTAACTAAAAGTAGTGTAATCGTGCGCAGTGAACAGCAAGTTTCAAAGAGAAAAACTATCTTTGGAGTTACCGAATTGTCCGGATGTTTGTAATGAAACAATAATGAGCAGTACATGTAATCAACGTAAACAATCCTGTTGAAATAGTCCATAATAATCTAGAATTTTTACAAAAGGGAAGTGGAAGATTAGAACCTAATGATCATTTTTTTTGGTTTCTGGCAAAATCCTCCTAGATTCACTTTAAAATGTTTCATAATGTTGCAAGTAAATATTAGAATTTAAATTGAATAAATATCAAAATTCAAATTCTTATTAATGGCAAGTTTTTGTATCCGTGTATAAATTTTCTTCCATCACAAATTTTATTAAAGTTATAAAGTGCACACATTTTTAAATATACATACAGTAACCACAATGTGCGATTCTTCTCACCAGACTCTATTCCTATTTATCTAAATGGTTCCAATTATTGAGGTTCTACTGTACCTCCAACCAACTAGTGAAAAAAGAGGACGAGCCTGCAGGTGATGTATGTACCGTAGATGAAGTCGAGCATGAGCAGCTTGAAGAGAGGCCACAAATCCTTTATTGACGCATACTCCATACACCTAGTGAAGAGCAAGAGCCTACTGGTGGTGCACGTATCACAGATGACGTCGAGGGTGAGCAGCTTGGAGAGGGGCCAAGTATTCTGTTATTGACGCATACACCTAAGGAACGAGCAAGAGCCTACTGGTGGTAGCACGTACCACAGATGATGTCGGAGGGTGAGCAGCTTGGAGAAGGGGCAAGGTTATGTTATTGACACATACACTAGTGAGAGCACAGAGCTACTGGTGGTGCCGTATCACAGATAGACGTCGAGGGTGAGCAGCTTGGAGAGGGGCCAAGTATCTGTTTTGACAGACATACACCTAGTGAAGAGCAAGAGCTACTGGTGGTGGCACGTACAGAGATGACGTCGAGGGTGAGCACTTGGAGAGGGGCAGAGTATCTGTTATTGACGCATACACGCTAGTGAAAGAGCAAGAGCCGCTACTGGGTGGTGCCACGTACCACAGATGATGTCGAAGGCGTGGGCCAGCTTGCGAGCAGGGGCCAGGTATTCTGTTATTGACACATACACTAGTGAAGAGCAAGACGCCTACTGGTGGTGCACGTACGCACAGATGACGTCGAGGGTTGAGTCAGCTTTGGAGAGGGGCACAAGTAATGCTGTTATTGACGCCTACACCTGTGGAAGAGCAAGAGCTACTGGTGGTGCCGTACAACAGATGACGTCGAGGGTGAGCAGATTGGAGACGGCAAGTATTGTTATTGACGCATAACACTAGTGAAGAGCAAGAGCCTACTGGTGGTGCACCGTACGGCACAGATGAAAAGTCGGAGGGTGGAGCAGCTGAGAGGGGCCAGGTTAATCCTGTTATTGCGACATACACCTAGTGAGAGCAAGAGCCTACTGGTGGTGCACGTAACCCAGATGACGTCGAGGGTGAGCCAGCTTGGAGAGGGGCCACGATCTGTTATTGACGCATACACCTAGTGAAGAAGCAAGAGGCCTACTGGTGGTGCACGTACCACACGATGTGTCGAGGGTGAAGCCAAGCTTGGAGAGGGGCCAGGTATCTGTTTTAGATCGCATACAACTAGTGAAGAGCAAGAGCTATGGTGGTGCACGTATCAAAGATGAGTCGAGGGTGGGCAGCTTGGAGAGGGGCGCAAGTATCTGTTATTGACGCATACACCTAGTGAAGAGCAACGATGCTACTGGTTGGTGCAACGTATCACAGATAGACGTCGAGGTGAGCAGCTTGGAGAGGGGCCAAGTATCTGTT